TAAGTAACCAACCCCCCAATTCTCCAGACCTCAACATCCTAGATTTTGAGGTTTTTTAGAGCCATTCAATCACTGAAAGAGCAGTGTGCTCCTAAGAATGTGACAAAGCTACTAGAAGCAGTAAGGGGTGCATATGAATCCCTAACAACAGAGACTTTAAACAAAGTATGGTTAAGATACCAAAATGTGACGCAGGAAGTCATGAATGATGAAGGAGGAAACAAATACAAGCTCCCACATATGGCAAAGGACATGCTGGCTAGACAAGGAGCACTACCAGTGTGTTTGGATGTACCCTACACATTGGTAGAGAAGAGTGTAAGGGTGCTTGGTCAGGCCAGTAGACAAAGTGAAGAGCCAGTGGTACATGAGTTCATAACTAAAGATGAAGAGAACTTCTCATCTTCAGAGATGAACTAAGTGTTTATCATAACACAAAATCTCTTTATATTTTGTGAATGATTGGGTACATTTATCTTTTGCTTTCTGAATTTTGTAATTGTAGGTTGTAAATAGTGAAGAGTAGGAAAGTAAGACCTTGACCTTTTTGTTTTCACATCAAGGCAACTACTCAATATGTACCCCAGTCAGTTTTCTTTGACTACCACTCACTCTATGTACCCAACAAACAACTTGAACATGTAATGTAATTTCCATAATCATCATAGTTGTGTATGTAAAGCATAAATACGAAGTATGTGTAACTTGTGCAAACACAGAGTACTTCTAATCATGCATAGACTAAAAAAAATAAAGAGAAACTTCACTTTGTAGTCTCGGTAGGACAACAAGCCTGGAATACGCTGGACCTCGCCAACCCCTGTGCCAATGACATTGGAGTGGCTGCCCATCTCAGCATCAGAGAGTTGGTTTCTGTCCTGCTCCTCCTCAACGAACTGGTCTTCATCCAATTCACTTCCAAATCCTTTCATGGGCTCATCCTCCAACTCACTTTCCTCATACTCACTGTCGGAAATGATCCAACCGACGTTTGGAAGAGGATTGGAGTCAGATCCAACATCATCCGACTCACTCTCCCCCTCCTCTATGCCTGAAGCGTCCAAATTTTGATTCTCTCTACCCTCAATTGCGACCCCAAGTTGATTTTGACTTTGGAGTCAAATTTCGACTCCAAAGTCAAAATCAACTTTGGGGGTGCAATTGAAGGGGGTGGGGGGCGTGTTTGAGTCGGGACGTGGTGGGGGGTTTACCTGGGGGTTAGAGGGGTAGGAACCATCAATTTTTAGGAGGGAGTAGTATTTTAGATTATACAGTACTGATTACGGAGTACTCCATATTTTTGTTTTCTTTAATGGACCATGCTACACTTACACCAAAAAATATACCCCATTTGTACGCCACAGGCTTGCACAAACATTTCGATGGTTTACACCGACACAAGTGTTGGTGCGTTAATAAATATTCACACGGACACAAATGTTGGTGCGTTTAACAAAAATCAGTTTTACACCAACACAAAGTGTTGGTGCAAAACTGCGGGGTACAAATTGGGGTAGAAACCTTGGGGTATACATAGCATAATCCTTTCTTTAATAGAAACAATATATAGGTAACGGCTCAGGTTTCTTTTATTTTATTAAATATAACGTCCAATTTAACTAAAGAGAATGTACTTACTTTTTATTTTTGGTTCTTCTAAAAAAATCATGTTAAGTCGTCTTTACAAAAAAAATTGTTTAATTTGTAGTCAAAGTTTTAAAAGTTGGTCACAAAATTTAAAATGAGAAGAAAGATATAGGACAAACAAAGTATTTCGCTTTTCGAGATGATATTTTGATTGTTAAGTTTATATTGAAACTTAATATTCTTTTTCTCCCCTGAAAATTCACTTAAACTTGACAAAAAAAAGTAATGAAAAAATGTTTAATACTCCCAAGTGAATTGAATTGTTAGAATTTGTCTAGAGGGAGGACGGTATTATGGATTATACTGAGAGAGTACTACGTATGTTTTTTGAGTTTATTGCACCATTACCTCTTGTAGTTTGATAAAGAGTAATGCTAGAGTCACAAATAAGGAGTTCACAAAATTCACAAATTTGTCTTTTTAACACTTTCCTAGAAATAAGATGCATTCAAATAATAAAAGATATTTTAATTTAAAATCCACAAAAGACAGCTTTGTGAAGTTTGTGAACTATATGTTTGTGACTCATTTTCCTTTGATAAATTTGCACCGTTATCTCCTATAGTTTCAAAACTTACATCATTGTCCTCATGATTCTAATATTATTATGTCAATGTTTTACTAGACTAAAATATTTTTCAAATATTATATGAATAACTTCACTGTCTCAATGGTTTTGAAAATTGGAACAAGTTTGCAATAAAATTCAAATAAATAACAAGAATTAAGATACACTTCTTTCTCTCAAATTAAACATATTCCTTTTTGTTTAAAAGAGGTCTTCATTGATTCATTTTCATGATACGAAAATCAATAAAATAATCTCTTTTTTCACTAAAGCACATTTCTCATTTTCTATTTATTATGTCGTTTCTTTTATTTTAATCAAAATTAAAATAAAAGAAAAAAGAATGGAAAAGAAAATAAAGAAAAAGAAAAGTATATGAAAAAAAAATACTTTTATAGAATAGGAAAAACTAAGTCATGAAGAAAATCTTTTGCGCATTGGTCCAAAAACTATTTTTAATATATAATTAAATATATATTAAAATACGTTACTCAGTATTCTTTTGGTCTCATTATATTAAAAAAGATAAAAACTTTTTTAGAGAATTAATTTGACAAATGAAGTGTATGTTAAATTTTTTTATTTCATTTTTTGATTTCAAACACAAACATTTTTTTTTAATTTTTTTAAAAATGTAGGTTTGACAATATAATTTTTATATTATTTCACACAAACATTTTTATTCTCTTTATGAAAAAAGAAAAGAAAAAAGAAAAACGATAAAAAAAGGAGAGGGAGCGTTGGCACCCATTTCTAAAACCATAGGGGGCAGCGGAGTTATTCACTCAATATTTGAAGGATATTTTTGTCTAGATGGACATTGGCGTAGCAATATAAGAACCATGAGAGACAACTGCGTAAGTTTTGAAACTATAGGGAGTTGTAACGGTGCATATTTATTGATGGTGTAAATTACCTAACCAGGTAAACAGTACTAGACCGGGTCTAGGATTGATTACTAGATTCGGGAAAATAAGAAGGTAAAACACACACAATAACCTGGAGGACTGTATGCGGAAACACATGTAGCCCAATTAATATCTCAAATATAATATAATGCACAAGAGCTTTTACATGAGAGTTTTAGAGAGAAGAAATCGGCTCCCTTCTTTTGAGGGTTACAAAAGTATTTATAGTAAGCTAGAGGAGACATGGCGTCGCGCACCCACGTCAGGGCATGTTCCTGGGTGGTGCGAGGTGACTGCCTCTGTCCTCTAGCGGTCTTGTCGCCTAGTGAGGAAGGTGGCTTCCTTGTCACGTAGTGCTTTGGATGGATTGTCCAAGTATCTCCAACGATTCTCCGTTGAACATGGTCGCTACAATCCAAGCTCATTTGGATTCTTCTTTGCCGACACTTCCCAACCCTAGAAAACATACCGGGTGATTTCTGAGGGATGGGTTTACTGAAATTGGAGACGTATGAGGGGATAAAATAGTTTGACCGGTAGACTTTCCGAAGTGTACCGGTCAATCCTTTGATCACCCAGACACCTTTTTACTCTTGTTTTAGGCCACCCATTCTCAGAAATTAACCTTGACCGATTGGATATTTGAGCGCATTCCTTGACTTGTTCTGGGTGCATGCACCCATCATTTACTAAACCACAAAGGGCGTTAGTGCAATAAACTCTATGTTTTTTCTTTTTGAAGTAGAGTACTCCCTCCATCCTAAAACCATCCTGTTTGTGTTTACGAGGTTTGACCGAGTTTATTTTTAATTCAATTTATTTGATTGTATGTGTAAAATTAAAAAATAAGATTTACATATTTTAAAACTACATTAAAAGTTCTACAAAATGAGAGGTGACAAGACTATATTATTTTATCAAATAAGTAGAAAAAATAGATAAAAAAAGTGATTTAAGTTTGACCGTGTGAATAGTAACTGGGAAGATAGTTTTAGGACAGGAGGAGTACGATGTATGCTAGTTTCCTTTTAGGAGTGGAAAACAATAAGTAACAGATCCAATTTCACTTTGTTTTACACCCCTTTGTCCCAATTTAAATAATCTTTTCTGATTTATAATGTTTGATCGAAATTATTTTTAATAATAATATATACCTCCTCCGTCCTATTTTATATTACCCGTTTTGACTTTGGGGCATATTTAAAGAAGGAAAAAAGTAATGTTGATTTTTCAAAAATGCCTTCCTTTTTTACGGGGTGGTGATGAATGAGAAGATAAAGTTGAAAGGAGCGGCTTATTTTAGGGGTAGTTTAGATATTTTACCCTTAAAAGTTTATTATTATAAGAAACATGCAACTTATTTTGGGACAGACAAAAAGGAAAACTAGCGATTTAAAATGGGACGAAGAGAGTATATAAGAATTGGAGTAGAACTAAAAAAAAAAATTTGCATTAAAAAATTACATTAAAAGCTCTATATGACAAAATGTGACATGATTATATTATTTTATCAAATGAGTAATGAAAATAAATAAAAAAAGTGAAAAAAAAAATTATCCTGCGAATAATAAATATGCAACTTAATTTGCGACGAAGAAAGTATTACATATTGTGTCCTATTTAACTAACCAAACTAATTAGAATGTATTTTTGAAATGCGGAGTATCAAATATTTATAATACCCATGTATGTTCGAATATCGATATCAATAATCAAAGTGCAAAAAATGCTAAAATAACACCAACTTTGACATCGCATATGACAACAACCTGTAAATTTGTAGTACTAAACTCTGTATTCACCGACATTTATATCCTGTGTGTACAAATTTAAACGTACAGCCGTCAAAATTGGTGTTATTCTAGCATAGCCCTCAAAGTCTTACAATAGTGATACTGCAACATCAATTGAGAACATAGAGGATTGAATATTACGTTTGTGAACTATAAAAAGGAGAGGCGGGGTGGTGTTATACATTGTTCCCATGTCCAAGAACGGAAAAAAAAAAACTGAACAATCTTACAACCGAAACATCTTACCCCAATGTATATGTACAAGAAGGAAAACAACCTTAACGTGCCACATTCTTCTCCCTAAAACATCGTTTCACCATTTACAAGAACAAGAATCTTGTACGGAGTACTTAATAGGCGACAAATTTGACAACGAAACACAGGCAGTAAGAAGACAGAGATCCTCCTATGATGCTTGCAAAGCCCTAACCCGGGCAGTGAGCTCCCTGACCTGGTTTCTCAAACGCTCTGGATTGCAGAAGAAATCCACAAAAAGGCGCCTCTGTAGTGTCACCTCCTCTTTATGATGTTTAATAATCTGAAAGAAGACGAATGACGAAAGTGGATAATGTTTAATAACCTGCTTAACATATAAAAAGCACTGGAACTCTACAAAGATGAGAAGCAAATCTATACCTCATTCTTCTTCCAGTGCTCATGAGTCACTTCTTCAACTGCAGTTGAAAGCTTTGCATTGGCCTTCTCCATTTCATCAAGCTCCTTCATTAATGTCTGTATGGGTGGATCATCATAAAGAACGGAATGAAATGTATTCAAAATCATTAATTCAAAGGGATTTATGTAAAGCTCGATGTTTCACGCTAAATTCTTGAAAAAACTGCATAATACCCTAGGAGTCAATATTGGCTGAGCAGTTGTTGATGATGCAAATAACAGTTGTTGCAAACTCTGGACCAGAGCGAGCCTAGTAGGCGACCATAAAGAAAATCATCAGATGTTTCATATGGATTGACATGAAAATCCATAGGACATTATTAAAAAGTAATACCAACAATCCAGAAAACGTAAAGATGTTATGCAACTTACAGCTTGCTTATACTTTTAGATCTGTCTTCTGGAAGGTTCTTCTCTAGGTCATACTGCAATTTGAACAGGTCAGAGGAAAGGCCAGATATCTGCTGAATTATGCCCGGTGCAGATACATATGTTGATAAACCAGGTTGGGAATCTAACCAAACCAAACAAGTATAAGAATACAATTCAAAAAATAAATAAATAAAAACATTATGACTCTTTCCACAGTGATTACTACTTGTATAAATGCTTAAAAGGTCCCTGATGCCATGAAGAAAAGTGTCGCCATCATCCACACCCCCATGTTCTTGAACATCAGATGCAGCTTGAATTAATGTCATACACCGCTCCTAAAATGAAAAACTACATCTGTAAGCTACAGAAATAATGCTAAAAGTAAAACACGCATGATGTTCTTGAGATGTCCAAAGACTGCTGTGAAACTGTTCTTATCTAAAAAGTGTTCACCCCACAGGTTCCACAAACTGTTTTCTTAAAAAATCATACATTCATTTACATTCGGGAAGTCGATTGTAATTCAGAGAATCTGCTTCCATATAACTCGACAAACTCAGTTCAAATCCTGCTTTTTGACAAAAGAGCAATGCATAACTTTATTTTAGTTTGCATAAATGTCATAATACCTCATCATTCGCAATCTTGGCCTCACAATATCAATTTTGATAGACATGGCAAAACAATATATCTCAACTCATTGCCATCTCACAATGTTTCCCATGCATTTAGAAATAGCCAATTATGATGATGGTTTTGGATTTTCTCCAACATTATTCCTTATGGAGGTTGTGATGGGAAGTGTATCCAACGTAAAAATACTGCGACTATGATTTGTGTGTTAGATTATAGTGATAACTACATCTGCATAAAATTAACTGGCACTATAAATTTATTGCCACCAACCTCAACTAGTTGGAATTAAGGTGGTGACAATGATGATAGGGTATTGATAAATGTATCCACAAAAAATATACAAATGTACCACCTTGAAAATGCAGAATACTCATGCATCACTAGTCAATATAAGGTAATAGTGTAAAGCCATGCAAAACTACCATTTAAAACCATCCTAAATTTGAGTTTCATTTTAAAAGTTAAAAGCATCAGTGCCAATATTAGGGATAGCAACTATTCAAGTCTTAGCTGCCTTACAAATATGATACTGAAAACCTACTATGTTGCACGGAAACTCCATATAGGCTGCCGTACCCGTTTCGGACACCTTGGACACGCCGACACGCCAGGAGACGTCTCGGAAACTCCACGTGGCGTTTCTGTAATTTTAATTTAAAAAAAGGGGAAAAACGCCTAAGACACGGCTGGGATACGCGTGTCTCTTTTGGGAAACGGCATGGACACCTCTTTTTAAAAAATGGGGTTCTTTTAATAAATTTTAAAGTTTTGGAACTTACTCAAATTATAGAAAGTTTTATGTGGCCCTAAATCCCCATCACTCCTCTGTGTTACGCTGTTATCTCATATTCACCCAACAGCAATCAACCACAGCCCTTGAAGAAGCTTACACAGCTGGTTCGATGAACTGTCGCCAACTACTCGCCCCAAAGGGAGAAGACTTCTCTCCAAATAAGCTTCTCGCCGACAAAGGGAGAAGCTTACGCCGCTGGTCAAGTGACTTCTAGATTGGAAAATTTCAAAGATACGATTCATATTTGTACTACGCAGGACTGTTTTTTTTGTGAAATTCATATACTTTTTCTTCCAAATTTAATTGTTGAAAATCAATATGTTGGTTCATCTCTAAAAATACAGTTAAAAATGTCATATATATATGTGTGTGTGTGTGTGTGTGTGTGTGTGTGTGTATCTTTTTATTTATTTGTTTATATATAAAATTTATATATATAAATTTCGCGTTTCCCCGGCGTTTCGTCTCTTCATTTTTTCAAAATAGCCGTTTCGGCGTGTCCGTTTCGTTTCGTCTCCGTCCCCGTCTCCGTTTTAGTGCTACATAGAAAACCTATTTATACCAACTACCAAGGGATAAAATTTATGCCCCCTCCACCCAAACCACCTAACCCCTTGTGTATCTTGATTTGATTGATAAAATAGGCTAGAGGAAGTCCAAAGCAGTTGATTCATGATAGCATTTATTTACCACACGGCCACGGGTTGCTGATAGATATCCCTGCAGTTCTGATTCAATGACTTTAAGCATGGCGTATGCCCCAATCATAGTCTTCTTTTCCAGTTGACATGCAATTTTCAACAACTGATGCCTTGAAAGTAATTCAACTAGATGACTTATAAACTGCAAAGAACATGAATAGAAAACATAAACACAAATAGTATCATGCAGCCAAATAAAATATCAAGTTTCAGCTAAGTATTGGATTCAAGATGCATAGTGAAATCCATATTCCCTTCTCCACATCTTCCGCAAACAACTTAAACAGATACTAAAGTATTCCATATGTGTAGCCCTTAACTCTTGGTGTTTGGTCCCGTCAACTAACGGTACAAGAGTAACATAGCATAGTTATGTTATATGACTTCTTTTGGTTAACATTATGAAATGTGAATATATGACAGCCACTTTGATGATTGATTACCACCATGTCAAACTTTTGGACACTGCCGAGCCATTATGACATGAAGTGTAATACTCAACCATGCATGTTAACATTAGAGTCATGCATTCTTAACGAAAAAAAATATTGAGCATGTTACTGGTGATATGGATAAGACAGTGTCGGCAACTGTATCTTATAACCTGTGACAATCTCATTAGTCATTTATTGAACCGAACACCCCTAACCCCTTTAATCTAACCTTGAACAGGGTTTAAGAATAATACAAGCTAGCAATCAGATGTTGAAGATGAATGTTGCAGCTTTAGGCTATTACGGAGTACTCCCTCCGTCCTGATGTTTTCGTTCACTTTCTTTTTGGCACAAATACCAAGATGGGAGAATAAAAACTCTAAAATGCCACAATTATCCCTCCAAATATTTCCCTGACTAACTCCTCCCATATCTCTCTGCTGATCCCCCAGTCCTCCATCGCCACATCCCATCATCAATTAGGCTCCTCTCCCACGTCCCACCACCGCCAGGCCTCCATAGCCCCGCCCGTCCATCTGCCGCCGTGCCTCATCAGCCTCATTCTCCATTGCCTTGCTTTCCCAACTCCATCAGGTGCCCAGCCTCCCCAATCCCATCCATCCGCGACACAGTTTACCTTGACAATGTCCTCCGCAAGAAAATTGGTAGGAAAAGGTTCAATTAAGATGGGAATTGCATCGATAATCGATTGCAATGAAATTTCGAAATGAAAAAGATTATTTTGACTTGGAAATGGTGATCCATCTGTGAATGGCGAGACCTCTCCCTATTTCAGCGTCATACTCTCTTCATTGGTGGAGTACACATCCAAGAGGCAAGAAACATCACAGATCTAGGGTTTGGAAAGGAATATGAAGAGGATGTAGTGAGATTGGAATTCTTTTTTTGGAATGAAGCAGTAACGAAATGTGATTGACATAGGAATATATTGGGGTGGTTGGAGGATGAATCATTAATATGGATGGCAAAAGAGACTTTCTTTAAATAATATTACCATAAAAGGAAAGTGGACAAAAACAGTGGGACAGCCCAAAAGGGAAAAGTGGACAAAAACACTGGGACAGAGGAATCTCAATTACGGGTATGACAAGAAAATTTTGCTCATAAATGCTAAGCATACCATCTTTTGCCGATTAATATACAATTCCTGTCGCATAACCTTTAGATCATAATCTCCTGTAATTCCCATGACAATAACAGTATAAGTTCATTAATTAAAAAATGCGTTTATTTTTTGAATGCAATAGAATTTGAAGAATGACTTTTACTACCTTGCAATATGTATGTATCTTGTAGCTGAGCAAGCTCACAGCAGAGATCGGGAATGGTCTGAAACACGATGGAATCACGGTAGGTAATTAAAGCTTGATCTGCTGTTGCAATACTAAACAATGCATTACACAAAAATGAAAACACCCGCAAAAATATAATATATGCAAATATTAGAGACAATATGAGAAGTGAAAACTGAGCATGAAACTTTTCACAGGCAGAAAGCATCAATATGCTGGCTCCATATACGTGGTAAACAAGAATACTGAAACAGTAATCATGACCAGCAATCCCCATCCTGTCAACCACTTAGGACTGCATAATTGATGACACAATTTGAATTCAACTAGTTATGGACAATTTGTTAAGAAATGCTAATACAAAACCTCTGACAGTAGCTTTTCTTCATTGCGGTATAGGCTTGAAAGTTCCCCAACTAGTTCAGCATGCTTTCTCCTAAAAGATAAACACAATGTAATAAGCAGTAGCCGCAAAAAAGAAATTACAAGGCCAGTTGAATGAGGTGTTGATTTCAATGATAGTTCATTTTTTTCAGCAGCATGAGGTATTGATTTCAATTTGACATAATGAATAATGACTACCTCTAGTTATCCACATGAAGAAATACATCAGATGGAATGGATCGATTGTGATTTGAACTTCAGCCAAATGCCTAGGACTTAAACTACAAGTCTACAACTAGGCTACCCAAAACCTCACATCCTCCCTACAAGTCTACAACTAGGCATGGAAATTGAATGCATGAAAATTCCGATCACTACTTTCAGACAAGGGCATGAACCATTAGTAGCCAACTATTTACGCTATACACAACACCCAGCCAACAAAGTATGTTTACATAAGCATTCCTTGTACGGAGTATTAGAGAAGGGAAAAACATTTGTTATCACGAAAATTATACTCCCTCCATTTCAAAAGAACTTTCCTGTTGTGGGTTACGATGCGTGACTAAGGATATTTTCAATGCAATTTATTTTAAAATTGGCAGAAAATTAAATTTAAGATTTAAAAACTTTAAAATTGTATAAAAAATTCTACAAAACAAGAAGTGACAAGACTATTGTTTTAAATGGAAATTTTATTAGATAAATATAGAAAAGGTACAACTTAAAAAGGAGAAAAAGACAGCCCAACAAATAGCCACCCTAGCACATTCTACAGTGGCAAGACTGTTATTTTATCAAATGAGTAATAATGAAAATAGGCAAAGAAAGAGGTCAAGATTTGACCCTCTGAATAAGTGCATAAGGATTTTTTTGGGATGGAGGGAGTGATTAAGAAGATCAAATGAACTATACCGAAGGGAATGAAGGTCGAGATGAATGTGAGCTTCATCTGATGTAACTTGAGTCTTCAGTGTAGTAAGAATCGCCTGCTGCTTAGCATTCTCTACTTGAGCTTCTATCCACTGCCTCTCACTTGTACCAAATCTGACACAAAATTGGGCAAGAATAATCCGGGGTCAATCATCACCCTTTGTAGAGTCTAAAGGTCAAGTGATAACAATGTGCCGGGATTTATTTAATTGATAGTCCACTGGTATCATCAAATTACACAACTAAGGATTTATACTAGATATAGCACATCTGCACATGATTGCAGGCTTCGAATTTAGGTGCAAGCATTGCAATAGAAAAAATATACAATTTTCTTCAAACTTCAAAGCATTATATTGCCTTGATTTTGAATCAGAACTCAGAAATGGCACTTAACTGTGCATAATTGGACCCAATAATAAAAATCTTTTATCAGAAAGCAAAACTAAAACATATGAAAAGTCAAGTTTTCTGAAGTCATCAGTCTAGATTAACTCATGAAAAGAAAAGGAAGTCCACAAGAACAAACACATACATTGAGCGAAGACGCTGTAACTCTGAAACACGCTGATGGTGTGACTTTTCTAAATCTGTGACATCAAAGAAACAAGTATATAAACGTCAAGATAAAACAGAAACAGGAGCATGTGGCTACTTCTGGGTTATGACCAGTTCTGTACCCTAAAGAAAAGACTAAGGCATAAAGGAATACCTAGTAGTAAACCATTTGAGATGTCATTTAGGCTGACCCAAGAACATTTGGATTTTCCCTCTTCAGCAACTAATCTGTAAGGACCCTAAATGAAGTTGCATCAAGAGAACAAAAATAGTGAAAATGTCATTGACTGCTAAAGTTTAATGTGAAATCTACATAGAGTGAAAGTAATACAAAGAAATTGATCATAGAGGTGTCTGGAAAATGTAATCTTGTTTCGAAGGTTCCTATCACTGGGTGATGAATAGAAATAATAAACTTAAGAATAGGCAACCGAAAAAATATGTTTTGACCAAATGATGTGTACGGAAAAGACCTGTAATCAAGGCCCACCAGCATTTCACACAGATATATGTTTTAATCCAAATGCTATAAGGGGTGCTAACATATAAATTTAAGTTGACGAGAGGAAAAGTTTGTAAAGTAACGTGACTGGCTAACAAATATACCGTGTCCAAATGCTTGGCAAACCATTGATTTAGCTCCTTGATGCATGCAGCATCCACAAATAAATATTGATGAAAATCAGAATAAGCCAAGTAAATACCATCCTCTGCAAGAAAATAGGACATAGATGTCACGTGGTCGTTATGATGAGAACAAGGATACAATATAAAATCAATTCACCATAAAACAGTCAACAAGTTCTACTTCGGAAATATTTGATTATTCAAACTGAGTATCAATGGATGAGTGAAAGAGAAGACCTTCCATTTTTTATTTTCGCACATGCATCAGTTAATTTCCATATCAATTATCAATAACAATAATAATAACTGAACAGTGAAACAAGATAGAGTACCATCCCCTGAGTGATAATGTGCTAATTCTTGAGCTGCTGAAGCCATCCTTTCAAGAACTGCATTCATCTAAGCATAACAAACCAATATAAAAACCTTGAGAAACATTATCAACATATTGAAATTTTAAGCACTTCTGCAAATTGTTGACATGTTCCCAAAAGGAAACTATTCAAGAATACACCAGCTAAATTAATTAATAAAGAGTTTTTTCATCCAAAATATATTACACCTCCAGATTCCGTGCAGAAAGACTATCATCAATAGCAGTCAGCCGTCCATTAACAACAGATGAAGCAGAAACTCTTGCCCTTCTTCCCTGAATTAAGGACGAAGCCTGTCCGGTGAGAATGTCATACTGAGACTGCAAACATCTAAGCTGTTTCTGCAACTCCAGCGCTTCAGCTTTCAAGGCTAGGGTAGCTTCCCTAAACAAATAAGCATGTACAATGGAGTATGTCATGTTGAAAAGTAAAAAAACAAAACTAATCAATCCTTGATTGCAATATATTAAATATCAAGAATGCCAAGACTCCAAGTGAGGTTTCATATATTTCCTTCCAAATGTGAACTTAAGAAACAATAATATCAATCACCTTATGTCTTTCAATCCTTCTTCATTTCCAAATACGGCTTCTTGGTTGTCCCTCCTAGTTGAGAATGCTGAAATGCTATCATAAGCAAAGTCTAAGTCCTCCCCCTGTTAGGCCAATAAAAAACGTCCAGATGGGAACTAGTGCAATCATACAGAACCAAAGAAAGATCTGCTGTATCCCAGGAGCTTCATTAAAATACGGTCATACCTCCAAAAGCTTCCCTTCTTGTAAAAACTGCTCATATCTACAAAACCAAGAGAGCATGATCAGTGGTAATAGGAGTTGTTGGTATATCTTGAACAAAGTTGGTGCAGAGAAAGCAGACATTCACAGTAACAAGAATGAAGAAGTTAAAATTGGATTTACATACAATTATATTGATTGTGTACAATTCAAATAACCATGTCAGATTTAGATGGCCATTTCTTGTGATTATGTAATCACATTACAAATACTTAAAAATTATATGTACAACCAAGTCTTCTATTGTGTCAAGGAGTAGTGTTGTTCATAAGGTCAAAATGAAGAGTGAAATGATCACATAAATCAATGAAACAGTGTACTCAAAGATGTTATAAATTGAACATGTAGGCTTATGAACAGTTTCCAAAATTGCATTAACCACATCCTAAAGTGTGTTTTAGTTCAAAAATCTCTTTCATCTATAAGGTTTTAAGATTCAAACCCTGCCTCATGGCTTCATATGCCATATGTACGACAACAAATATGCCAGAAGTACTGTTAAGTACCAACCCAATTGTTGGTGATATATAGTATTCATTTTTATTAATTCTCTTTTTCTCTTTTCTCTCCTTTTTCTATTTTTATCTCATGTTATATAAATAGCCATGTACAACAGACTTTGGATTGATTTACTTGCTGAGAAAATATCTTTCTGTTACTTTTGTTTCTCTCTCTCTCCTCCATCTTCGTTCTCCTTCGACCATGGCTTCCTGCGCATTCATGGAGTGGAATCTCAAATTGAATGCAAATCAACATGGTATCAGAGCTCTATTTCATTGAATCGGAACTCCATCTTGTTCCTCGATTCTGAAATCAATCATTCAACAAAGCAGTAGCCATGGCGGAAAACAACACTCGGTTCACCATCGCTCCTACTGATCCTTTATATCTACATCCTTCGGATCATCCAGGTTTGAATCTCGTTTCAAAACAATTTGATGGAATCAACTTTGGTGCTTGGCAGAAATCTATGTCCATTGCATTATCAGCCAAAAATAAAGTAGGTTTTGCCAATGGAACTGTTGAGAAACCTGTAAATGATCCACAACGTTTGAATGCTTGGCAACGCTCTAATGATATGGTGACGTCATGGATTTTGAATGCCTTAAACAGAGACATTGCAGAGAGTGTGTTGTATGCTAATACAGTCGCTGAGATTTGGCGAGAGCTTGATGAACGCTTCGGACAATCTAATGGTGCGAGACTGTATCAATTACAGAAGGAAGTCTGTTCAATGACACAAGGGAACTCAGATGTCACAACCTATTTCACACGTCTTAAGAAGAGTTGGGATGAACTGAACACAGTGAATAAACTTCCCAATTGTACTTGTGGTGCTGCTCAAGCCTTGTACAAGTATGAACAAGATCAAAAGTTAATTCTATTTCTGATGGGATTGAATTCAGATTATAATGTAATTAGGGGGAATATATTGTTGATGAGGCCGCTGCCTACGGTTAGTGAAGCATATGGACTTCTTATTCATGAGGAAAGGCAAAGAGAAGTACAGGCATCATCTTCTTTCAATGCAGATCACACTTCGCTGAACGCAAATACCCAGAGCAACTTTAAATCTGGTTATCTTCAAGGAGGTTTCAAAGGAAGAAATGACAATAAGAAAATCATTTGTGATCATTGCAAGAAACCAGGTCACACATCCAGCAGGTGCTACAGACTAATTGGATTCCCTAAGGATTTCAAATTCAAGAACAAGAAAATGGCAGCACATGTTCTAAACGGAGAGGAATCTGGTCAGGAAAACATTGAGACACAACCTTCTGTTGACAACATGGAGTTGTATAATCAGTTCATCAGCTTTATGAACACAATGCAGATCAATACTAAGGATCATGGCCCTGCTGGAACCTCTCATTCCCATGCCTTTTCTGCCCAGATGGCAGGTATGACTTTACTTCATCCTATGGTTTTGTGTCCACATTTGTGCAATGCTGTATCTCTTATTGATGATTATGCTTGGATTTTAGACACTGGAGCAACTGACCATATGTGTGCTAATGAGAAACTCTTAATTGATCTTAAACCTCTTTCTCATCCTCAATACATATCTCTACCTAACAATCACAATCTTTCAGTGTCCAAAGTTGGAAAAATCATCCTGCCACACAATATAATTCTTGAGAATGTTCTGTTTGTTCCCCAATTCAAATATAATCTTCTTTCTGTGGGAAAATTATGCAATCAGTTGGGAGTTACCGCACAATTTACCCAAAATCTGTGCACTTTGCAGGGCCCTTCCATGAAGAGGCCAGTGGTTCTTGGTAAGAGGGTTGGTGGACTTTACATTTCACAGGGACATTCAGGTTGCAGCCATTCATCACCTTCTGTTCCAGCTTCTGAATCAGCTCAAAACATTTGTTCATCTGATAGTAGTTCTTTATCTTTTCCTGTCATTTGTAATAAAGTTTGTAAGACTGATGTTGCTTTTCTTTGGCACATGAGAATGGGTCATTTACCTCTTTACAAACTGAAATATGTTGTTTCTTTTGATTCTGATAAGATAGACTCCTTATCTACATGTGATGTGTGTCCTAGAGCTAGGCAACACAGACTCCCTTTTCCCCATAGTCACAGCCATACTACCCATATTTTCCAGTTGATTCATATAGATATCTGGGGTCCCTATCACACAAAAACTCACAATGGATTCTCTTATTTTCTTACTGTGGTGGATGATTTCTCAAGAGCAACCTGGACCTACCTTCTTTCTGCTAAGAGCAATGCCCCAGATCTGATCCAAAGTTTTATTATCATGGCTCATACTCAATTTGACACATTAGTTAAGACTGTCAGATCTGATAATGCCTTGGAACTTGGGAAAAGTAGAGCCATGACCCAATTTTTTTCATCCAAGGGGATTTTACATCAAACAAGTGTTAGGAATACACCTCAACAAAACGACATAGTTGAAAGGAAACATAAACATCTCCTTGAAACTTCCAGAGCTTTGTTAATACAGTCCAACCTCCCACTGAAATTTTGGGGAGATTGTGTCCTCACAGCCACCTATCTTATAAATAGATTCCCTACCAAAATCCTTAAAGGAAAAACACCCTATGAAACCCTCTTTAACAAACCTCCCACTTATGATCATCTAAAAGTCTTTGGTTGTTTATGTTATGTGACTACTCAAAAACAGGGTAGGCATAAATTTGATGACAGAGCCTCAGCCTGTGTCTTCCTGGGATATCCCTATGGTAAAAAGGCTTACAAGGTATACAACCTTTCCACTCACAAAATAGAAGATTCTAGGGATGTCATTTTTCATGAAACTGTCTTCCCTTTCCAGAATTCCAGGTCCAATTCACCCATCTTTCATCCATCCAGTTTCCCAGATTTCCTTGACAATGACATCTCTCGAGACTCTTCTACTTCTCATTCCACTTTGTCAAATGATCCCATTCTTCCAATTCCCATATCAGTTGTTCCTTCCACCAGTCATTCAATACCCAATTCTTCCAATGTCCCAACGAGACACTCTTTTAGAGTTCATAAACCTCCATCCTACTTGAATGACTATGTCTGCCAATCCTCAATGATCTCAGATGCTGGTCATGATTCTTTGTCTTCTGTCCCAAGTTATCATTGCCCTCATACCATTACCTCCTTTCCCACTTCCACACACATATGTGCCAGTGCTCTAACTCAAGCAAGTCAACAATTTTTGTACAGTTTTTCACAAATGCAGGAACCTAGATCATATGAAGAAGCTAAAGTTGATCCTGCTTGGGTAGAAGCAATGTCAAAAGAATTGGAAGCCCTTGAAAATACGGGTACTTGGATACTTTCTGATTTACCCAAGGGGAAGAAGCCTATAAGCAGTAACTGGGTCTACAAACTGAAATACAGATCAGATGGGACATTGGAAAGGCATAAAGCACGCTTGGTCATAAGAGGATGTACACAGAAAGCTGGGATTGATTACCATGAAACATTTTCTCCTGTGGTCAAAATGACTACTGTGTGTGCTATGTTGGCTACATCAGTTAAGAAAGGATGGCCCTTGTTTCAACTTGATGTTAACAACGCATTTCTTCATGGAGACCTTGATGAGGAAATTTACATGAAGCCCCCTCCAGGCTTCATCCTCTCTGAACCCACTAAAGTGTTGAAACTGCAGAAATCACTTTATGGCCTCAAGCAAGCTTCAAGGCAGTGGTATGCTAAACTTTCCAATGTTTTAAGATCCAAAGGTTATAGTATCTCCAAAAATGATTACTCTCTGTTCACCAAGCGCGTGGATTCTACTGTGGTTCATCTTGCTGTTTATGTGGATGACATAATAGTTACTGGAAATAATCCCACAGAGATTGTTGAAATCAAACACCATTTGGACTCTCAATTCAAAATCAAAGAGCTTGGCACTTTGAGCTATTTCCTTGGTCTGGAAATTCTATACAAACCTCAGGGAATCATCATCACACAACAAAAGTTTGCCTCTGATTTACTAAAGGAGTTTCATTGTGACCTTGGTCCTCCCACTAATTGCCCTTTACCATCCAACTTAGAACTCTTCCCATCTACTGGCCTCCTCTTACAAGATCCAACTTCCTATAGAAGTCTTATAGGCAAACTCAACTTCCTCACTCACACGCGACCAGATTTGTCATATGTTGTCCAACTTCTCAGCCAGTTTATGCAAGATCCCAGGCAACCACATTGGGAGGCTGCCATTCACACACTTTGTTACCTGAAAGGGAGTCCCACACAAGGCTTATTCCTTAATGATTCCCCAGATTTCACCCTTGAAGCTTATTGTGACTCAGATTGGGCAGCATGTCCCACCTCTCGTCGCTCAGTTAGTGGATACTTTGTCATGCTATGAGGTAGCCCTATTTCATGGAAGGCCAAGAAACAGCCAATTGTCTCACTTAGTTCTGCAGAAGCTGAGTATAGATCCCTACGGCGTGTGACTGCTGAACTTGCTTGGCTCTCTAGGTTGCTCTCTGACTTCGATGTTCCCAACATTCTTCCCATACCAGTTAAGTGTGACAGCAAGGCAGCCATCTATATAGCCACCAATCCCGTCTTCCATGAGCGAACGAAACACATCGAAATTGACTGCCATTTCGTCCATGACAAGTTAAAGGATGGTCTCATCAACCTTGTTCATGTCTCTACTGATTCTCAGCTTGCAGACATTTTCACCAAAAGTTTACCAGGGCCTATTCATCATCGGTTGCTTTCCAAGTTGGGGGTTCATCCACCCTCCAACTTGAGGGGGGTGTTGGTGATATATAGTATTCATTTTTATTATTTCTCTTTTCTCTCCTTTTTCTATTTTTATCTCATGTTATATAAATAGCCCTGTACAACAGACTTTGGATTGATTTACTTGCTGAGAAAATATCTTTCTGTTATTTTCGTTTCTCTCTCTCTCCTCCATCTTCGTTCTCCTTCGACCATGGCTTCCTGCGCATTCATGGAGTGGAATCTCAAATTGAATGCAAATCAACACCAATCGAGAGTGAAGACCCTAAACTCAGCCACAATCTTGATATGGAATCATTTCAAATGAACTCAACAAACGAAATTGAATTAGAGTGCACAAGAGCAAGGAGTGTATGTATTTTGATACCACAACACACCTATGATCAAAATCAAAATTTCCCCCCTTCTTATAATCTAGTCAAATCCCAAAATTCTAATAGTGAACAAATGGAGAGCAATGTTAAAGAAGAAGAGGACTTCACTGGGAAATTTCGGAAGGGAGAAGGACGTTGGATGGGCGGAGACTAGAGCAAAGCCAATCGAGGATCGGACGAGTGTCTTCGTACTGGAAAGGCCATTCGAAGCTGTCAGGATCGAGCGATTCGTGGCCTTCATACCCCAAGTCTCCCAGCAGTGCGCACAGCCGCGCACAGCTCATTCTCGCTTCTTCGCCGCCTCTCTTCCACGGACCACCGTCACTTGCTTCAGATCCGGAGGCGGGACGGTGGCAATTGGGCCATTTTGGGTTCAATTTTGCGCTAAGCGGAGCTGTTTCTTCTGCTGTGTTTTCCTTGTTTTCTTTTCCAATTAGCTACTACGGGCAGGCCTGGAGCATTTGCCGGAATACGATGGAGAAGTGAGCGGGTAAAATATGTGTACTCCATATTCTAAACAGGGAGGATCAATTGACCAAACATAGGCAATGCTTCACAAACTTATCATTTACGTTTTAGGGGCCTTTGGTTAGGGGTAAGTGAATCGGGAAACGGAATGAGATTCCCTAATTTCCTTTGTTATGGTTTGTTTTTTTAAAAAAAAAAATCATTCCCTTTTTTCACTATTAGATTTTGGATTACTTAGTTTAGGCTCTTTCCATTCCCCGCTCCATATCCGTATTTCCCATTCCCATTCCCTATTCTAACCCTTCTACCCCTTCCCTCACCCTTTGATCTTCCTCATTTCTCCAACTAGTCCACCGCCATCTCCCCAATTCCGTTTCTTCCCGCCGCTGCCACACAGCTTCTCGTCGCCTCAACTCCATCCGCATTGCAGTCCAGGTATGTTCTCCCCGTTCCACCTCGGTTTCCTCCCCCCACCTCCAGCTCCGATCCCCCTCTCCCTGCGATTGCCCCGTCCCCCTCACACTCCGTTTCCTCCCCTCCCTTGTTTTGAACCAAACACGAATAAAGGGATTTCTATTCCCACTCTGTGCTCCTGGCACTGAAAATCATTTTAAATTTCTTTTAAATTAAGGGGTAACCAACTTTAGCAAGCCCTTTAAGAAGTAATGTCATTTTATGAATTATAAGACTTTTACCATATAAGAATACAAAAGTTAAAGCCAAAACATACTTCCTAAAATATGACACTTACAACTGCTCGATTTTGAAGTACCAATAACCCCGTAGTGCTCGGTTTTGCATCTGTTTCGTTTTTCAACATCCAACCAACAATAATCTCATAACAACAACACCAATTGGTCATATTAACATTCTAAACATTATCAAGCACATTAATCCATCAATCAACGCCTAATTCATGCATACTACCTTTTTTTATTTAACGACACAATTCCCAAAACCACAATCAAGAATTGTACACACAAATCACACAGATCAACCACGATAACAATTATGATTGAAATTTCAAACATAGATGCATATTGTAGTATTAGATGTCCAGGTACTCACCTTGATTTGTCGATTCAATTCAAAAGAACATCATTCAAATTCCATCATCGAAGTAACCCTGCCTACTGCCCGAAGTCAAGCCCGTTGCTGCCCTGATTAAAACATCTCTACTCGTCGGGGTTCGTCGGTCCTGCTGGTTCCGTTCATAGCCAACACCCGATCACCACCATCGCAGATATCACCAGAGTCGCTACCCAGACGCCATCGCTGGCCTGCCGTCTAGACGCTGTCGTTGCTATTTTCACCGGAGCATGTTTCTTCACAGGTGGGTGTGTTATCATAGTTGGACAGTGTCACAGTCTCTTTCCATTCGTTCGTACAAGGACCAGTTAGACAGGCTACAGGAAAGAGAGGTATAGTCTATCCATTCTATTATTTCCATTCTACTGCACCATAGGGTTCGCAATATGGTGTGCACGTGTTCTGGTGATATACACTTATATTGTGGAGATGTATTACCCGGATCGGTTCTATCGCCAGTTCGGTGGACCTCAGGATATCCCTCAGGCCGTGGATTATGATCGTGAGTTACATGCCGTCAGGACAACCACAGGGACCATGGCTCCTCGGACATCACATTTTGTAGAGGAGTGGGAAGGCCGACATCAGAGTATTGTGGATATTGACTTTGATCATCAAGAATGCACTGATGCATATCGACACTGGTATTACCGTCATGGTAGATGCATTATAGGCAACCCGGCTCATGACCACGTATTAGTCCCGGGCTTTGTCCCTCTCAATCCGAACGTTCATTGTCTGGTGTGCACTAGCCTTTATTAGTAACATTTTTATATTATATTAATTATAGTATTTTTTATTTAAACTAATTTCTTTAAACATACAACTTTTCAGTTTGTTGGACATAGCACGAAGAACAGATGTAGATCAACCTGAAGAAGGTCAGGACCTCTACACACTTGTGCGTGGCGTGCATGATCAGGCAGTGCAGTCCATCCGTGACGCTGGATACGGAGAGATGTTATCTCATCCGATTCAAGTTCTAGCGTACGAGCCTGGGGTGATTCATAGGCATCCTGACAGATGCCGAGATGCACTAGTGCGTGGTCGCCCCCCGAAGGCAACGCCAAAACCAGGAGATAGAGCATGAGGTCGACGCATATATTGTCCATCATAGTCCGGAGCTACACCAGCATAGACCGATGACGATGAGGTAGGGCTGTCATACTTTACACCATCTTCTCTACAGCCACCATTCAGTGACGGGGCATCCTCTTCCCATGGTACCACCCCCGCGTATATGACGACACATCTTCCTAGCACACAGCTTCCACTACAGGAGGACATATGCAGGGACTTCATATCACAGTTGACTCAAGAAGACAATATACAAGGTCTCTAGGATCAGAGAGCAGAAGTGCCACAACGTTGGCCACAAAGACAGATACGGGGCCGGCGGTGTGGTACGGGGAGTCACTACATTATCCCAGGACAGTATCACGATGACGAATCTAATTCGTAAACATTTATTTAACGTATTTACAGTACTTTAAATTTTTTATTCTTGTATTAATTTGGATGATAAAATCTTTATTGCTGTATTAATTTGGATGCTTATGTACTGTATAATATCTCATCTAACACCACGAACCATCCTACACCATACAATCCACCTAACAAAAAAAATATCTCATCTACCACCACTAACCATCCTACACCATACAATCCACCTAACAAAAAAATATCTCATCTAACACCACTAACCATCGTACACCATACAATCCATCCTACAAAAAAATCTCATCTAACACCACGAACCATATTACACCATACAATCCACCTAACAAAAAAAATCTCATCTAACACCAGTAATCATCCTACACCATACACAATCCACCTTACAAAAAAATATCTCATCTAACACCACGAACCATCCTACACCATACAATCCACCTAACAAAAAAATATCTTGTCTAACACCACGAACCGTCCTACACCATACAATCCACCTAACAAAAAAATCTCATCTAACACCACGAACCATCCTACACCATACAATCCACCTAACAAAAAAAATATCTCATCTAACACCACGAACCATCCTACACCATACAATCCACCTAACAAAAAAAATATCTTGTTAGACAAGGCGTGCAACTCTAGAGGGGGGGTGAATAGAGTTGTTGAGAATGATTACCGATTTTCGCAGGATAAATAAAATAAACGTAAGTGCAGCGGAAATAAAAGAGAGAAGGCAAAGAACACACCAATGTATACTGGTTCACCACCTCGTGGCTAGTCCAGTTCCCCGAGAGACTCTCTCGAAGCTACCACTACTTATCAAGCTTCAACGGGTGCTTGACAAACCGTTTACAAACCGAGAACTTGAATCTCACAAGCCTCAACACAACCGCTCGTAGATGTACCCTCTATAAGACTTCACAACCAAGACTTAAGTCACATAAGTCTTGAACAACAAGAAGAACAATCTTCTTCAACCTCTCAGCAATAACTCTCACAAGAGTAGAAATGAGAAAAGATTAAGCTCTATGGATGACAAGAACACTCTCTTGAAAACACTTAGTTTTCTATCAAAATATATCAATTTGAGGAAGAAATGAATGGAGGATTATAACCTCAAGATTGGGGGATTTTAGGAGTGCTTGTTCATTTGAAAAATGACCAAGGAAGGATGCTTAAATAGGAGGTGAAGAAATATATCCGTTGGTCCAAGAAAAGAAGCTGGGATGAAAAATGCAGCATAATAATCGATTAATGCAGTGTCAATAATCGATTAATGCAGTCTGCGCAGAGTTCCTTCAACGCGTAAATAATCGATTAATGCAAAGCTATTAATCGATTAGAATGGTCTGAGTAAACTAATCGATTAATGGGAAGAAAAAAATCGATTATATCAAAGA